CACGAACAGAAGTGATGCTGTCATTGGCAGGAACGAAGCAGGTATTAATTTGAAGTATCGACCAACCTCCTGTACAAGGCCAGCATCGCCAGCAAGATACATCGCCAGCAGCAAACAAATCGAGAATCTCTCACACTGGGAGACCCTGATTCACCAAATTGACCACTTATGTGCTTGCAGCATGATGATGCAGCGCTTGCTTGCAACAGTCAGCTAGTTGTCTTAGAAATGATTCCCCAATTGCAGTTTACGATAATTCTCTCACCCCGTGAAATATGTTCCACGTCCAAATCAAATCGATCGTCAACAACCCCCTTAGTGAGTGTTATGCTCAGCTGACCTCTCTGTGTGCAATTTGAAACCTTGCCCCACATGCTAGCACAATTTTGTAAGTAGCAGCAATTTCGACTGTTCACCTTGCAGCGGATGAACAGTGATCGCGCCTGAGTGAACCCCGTTTACAGACCTGACGGTGGCAATGACTCATCCCATTGCCATTGGTCACTTATCAGGAGCTGTCACCCGATCACTCATCCACACTCTAAGCCACACACTTGGCTGGCGTGACACTAATAAACGGTTGTGTCTTCTGTCGCCTCTTGTTACATTCTTCTCGGGTTGTTACGGGCTGTTTACTAAAGAATTGAAAGATAGTGATAAAACTCTAGCTACGGCAGCATTACGGCCCTATATATTTACAGATTCACTGATCACAATTGCCGCAATACCTAATGTCTAGAAAAATGCGGCAATGTAGACACGTGAATATTATTCGACACATTTAAAGGTACACCTGGGTATTGACTAGAGCATAAAGTTAACGATTAATCTCTGGTTCCCATGACACTCGCTGTGAAATTTATGTGACTTAAACTACGCAGCCACGCCTAGGGTTATGTTGTCTGCGGCTAATGCCTGGCTAACATGTGACAAATAAGAAAAACAAGTGGTTGTGTTGCCATTGTGGCAGTTTGTGTGATCGTCCATTGTGATCCGCTGTTAAGATCCAATTATCTGCAGCAGAACATGTAATGACAAACTGCTCAGATAAGGTTATTTGTTATGATGTGTCTCCAGGCGCGCCAAGTCAACATGCCATTAATGACAAAAAAGGGTTTTAAAACAAATCAAATTTGTGGCCTTAACTATATCGATTGTAGCAGTTTATAAACCATCTTCTGTTGTGATCCTTTTAGAATATCTAATTGTCTGCAATGAAACAGGCAACAGGTTTAGCACCGACGTTCTTCAATGCGATGCATCTAGTGTGAAACACCGCAAATGCTAGAACATACCCCGTGCGTGACAAGTGATATGCACACCGACACGACACTAATTTCATTTCTTTGAGTTGGCTTTGAATGTGCCACTTGGCGTGGTTGCTTTGTTTTAGCCACACGAACACACACAGAGACACGCCCCATAAAGCAATTGCCAGTGCGTCGCAAAATCAATATTTTATGTGGTGCTTCGAAGAACATTTGGATAATGTGATGATAAGAGGAACTTGCGGTTAGGATATAATTCGAGTGCTCGTCGTGTACATGAGATGATGTTGACGGTAGGAGAATGGAGGCAGATATAGATTTGTTAATGGGACAGTGTGTTTATTAAAGGTATCAATTTGCCACCGCATTGTAGCCAACTCGATTACGCTACTCTGATACCCGCACAGACGCCGAAGACCAGAGACGACTGAGCACTTTCCTTTACTAGATAGCTCAGCCAGGTTGTGTATATCATGCACGTGAGTATTAAATTTAGTCACTGAATGGTACAGTCTGGGTGAGGTATTATTATCTAAGAAACGCGAAAATGGTCAGTTGGACAAAGTTGGTACAAGCACAGAGGTGAACGATCCAACGATGCCGCATGGCTGACGGCCACACCAAGAAAATTAGACGTGTGACTGAGACTGCTACGACTGGCACAATGCACGGTAATCGACACGATTTGCTACACATGCAGAACAAATATCCTAAAGTTTTTCCGTCATGTAATATCCGTGTTGCCCATCTCTTCCAGAGTTGTCAAATGTCCAGAATAATGGCAGCGACATCTGCAAAGCTCTTTAAACGGATTCAACGATGTAGTCTATGCAGAAATCAAGCCGATTTATTTGAAATTCTCCTCGTCATTGCGTTTTCATAACTGGGGTGCAGGTGCCATTGAGTTAGTCATTCTCATAACTACATCGGCAACTAATATCTAACATTTGTTACTACTTCGACATGACCAGCAATGTACTATATGCAGCTGACCCAAAATGAACATTGGTTTCTTGATTTGAGTAATATGCCCATTTGATTCAAATGGTCACCAAAAGACCTTTCTTTGCTTACATAATTCCACAGACTTTTCCAGCGCGTTAACACTAAACATAACACGACTTGAGCACTTCTTTTTCTTTTGTGAACTCAGGCATCACCTCTGTTAAAAATAGTGCTGCTTAACAAGTTGATTTAAGACAATAATCAAACTAAATCAGCTTCCCAATATAAAAAAACACTGAAAAACAAGTAACTATATGTGATTTCGTGAACACAAACGTTCGGCGTAAACTTTTGGATCAAACGTGGTCCTGTTGTAAGAGCCTGATATTATTTCAGCTGCGACTCGTTGGAAATACCACTGCTCCATCTCATCGTATGCCTCTGGTTGGTAGTCAGCATGGAATTTGTTGGCAGAAATGTGTGGCACAGTCTGCAACAACGCCACGTGATTCGTTCCAAGAATGCAAACATCCCTAACGTACTTCGTAGCACAAGTCATACCGTAGTCTTTCCAAATGACAAGCTCCAGGCAGGCGGAGTTGGCTGTTGTAAGCGAGAGTTGGGAAAAAGAACTCGTCTGGGTGTCTGATATAATTCGGTTTGAGCATTAGATCAAGAATGGGGCCAAGGGCTGTTCCCATGACTGCTTCGTGCAGAAATTCCCGTCGGAAGGCACCGTACATTGAGCCCTTGTACCATGTTGCCTACAACATGAAACGTTAGCTTAGCTATGTGGCTAAGAATTCAAATGTCACATGCCTCGGTTTTAATGTGACTGCAATCCAACACCCCTACTGGACTTTTAACATCATGCATAGTGCTTTACATTATTAGTTCAGCGAAATTGCCAATCGCATGTTTTCTTACTACGTATTCCGACAAATTCCATCGACTGCGTAAATCGCATGCCTTTACCCACCATAAAATGATGATGTGCAAATATGCGCTTCTGCCGATTTCAACCATCCCTATTTAACTTCAGCGTACGATGGTTTGCAACAGAATTACGTATTTGCTACATAGTTTATCGATTTTAATTAAACTAACAGCAATTAAACGACATTGGCATTCCCAAACTGAATTGTTTCAAATTTATGTAGTTGAAGTATGCAGACGATGGTTATAGCTACGTACTTGAAATATGATTAATGGCTAGAGTAATGGCCCAATTATATTTAGGCTGGTGAAGACGGCATGTGACAACATTGTGCGTCGTATTTTTCTCTGGCGTGTTGCACTTCAAGGGGAAACTCAACTTTACTCACTGCTTATTTGTCAAATAAAAAAGCCGTGCAGATTCCTAGAGAGGGGCCAACATGCTAAACGCACTAGCTAGTTATTCACCCTTAATGGCAGCGATGTCTTATTTGTTCCCCACTCAAATCCGCCTAGTTCGAAAGATTCAACGAGATTGGATCCATTGAGTGCCTTCAGTGCAGCCACCAACTCCATGTTCGTTCGCAATGGGAAATCCTGACCTACCGAATTCACCAGGTACTTACACGTAGCGTGACTCCTCAACGCCTGTTTGGCACAGGTAATTTGTGGAATCAGGACTGATTCGTCACTTCAATGTGCTGCCACGCGCTCTTCTTATGGAACTAATTCCACATTTGTACCGAAACACGTCGCAACTCCACGTAGGGACTTGCTGAATAAGCAGTCTGCACAGCTGTCAGCATGAATGCAGTAGC